ATGGAGCCACCATTTGACCCAGCTATTCCCCTTCTTGGTCTATTCCCTAAAGACCTAAAAAGAGCATGCTACAGGGACACTGCTACATCGATGTTCATAGCAGCACAGTTCACAATAGCAAGACTGTGGAACCAACCTAGATGCCCTTCAATAGACGAATGGATAAAAAAAATGTGGCATTTATACACAATGGAGTATTACTCTGCATTAAAAAATGACAAAATCATAGAATTTACAGGGAAATGAATGGCATTAGAGCAGATTATGCTAAGTGAAGCTAGCCAATCTCTAAAAAACAAATGCCAAATGTCTTCTTTGATATAAGGAGAGTAACTAAGATCAGAGTAGGGACGAAGAACAGGAGAAGAAGATTAACATTTAACAGGGATGAGAGGTGGGAGGGAAAGGGAGAGAGAAGGGAAATTGCATGGTAATGGAAGGAGACCCTCAGGGTTATATAGTGGAGGGGGTAGAGAGAGAGGAGGGGAGGGGAGGGGAGAGGTGGGGAGGGGGGAGGGGGGAGGATGGGAAAGGCAGCGGAGCACAACAGACACTAGTATGGCAATATGTAAATCAATGGGTGTGTAACTGATGTGATTCTGCAATCTGTGTATGGGGTGAAGGTGGGAGTTCATAACCCACTTGAATCAAAGTGTGGAATATGATATGTCAAGAAATTTGTAATGTTTTGAACAACCCACAATAAAAAATTAAAAAAAAAAGAAGTAGCTAGGGCAGCAGTGGACCTGGGATGTCACTGTACAAACAGAATGCCTACTTCTTAGGGTCCTGCCACCTCTTGCTCCTTGCCTACCCTAAGAAGATCTGGAAACAAAGCTCTTGGCTTCCTAGCTTGGCTTCCTTGACTCCCACCTCCTCTTCCACTTACTGCAAACTGCTTCTGCTCCCACGATGCCCCTGACGTTCTTCTGGCTAACATCGTTTGGGAGCTTCCTCTGGCCAAACTGAACGGCTTTCAGACAGCGTTCGGGATGGCTTTTCCAAAGTCAGTTCCAACTTGCATAATGGAAACGGCAGTCATGGTGTGTGTATATGCAGAATGCATTTCCTGTTGGCGCCTAACGCTGACCTAAGCTCAAGATGCTCTTTGTCTCATAACCATCTTTCAGATTGGGACTTTGACTTTTCTATTTCACATATGAGGAAGCCTCGAGGTTGACAGGGCTCAAATTACACGACCAGAAGGTGGCAGGGCAGAGATTTGACTCAAGTCTCTCTGACCCCCACACCCAGCTCCCAGCCCGGTCCCCAGGGGGCTCACATCACAGCTCTCTGCTCCCAGCCTCCTGCTCCTCTACCTTTTCTGTCTTGGTCCCTTCCCAACTGTCTCCTCTTCCTCTCTCGAACCTCAGATGATTCCAAGCTAATCCGTAGCTTGGGCCTCTCTTGGGAGCTCCCGGAGTTCTGCCATTGGCCTTCCCACCTGGACGCCCTGTTGACACCTAAGAATCAACAGGACCAAGAAGAACATCCTGTTCCTAATAATCTACCCTCCTCCTTGTGCCTCTTCCTTCTTTGACTTCCTGAAATACCCTTGAGTGCCTGGGCAGTGCCTCCCACGAGTTCAGGCTCTGGGAGGGAGGACCTAGTACCTCGCACTCATCCTAGTGGAGAAGACCGACCACAGACAAATGTGTCCCTAACGCTGGGGAGTGAAATGTGCTGGAAAGTCAACAAAAATGAGGTAAGGGTGATAGAATGATGAGGTGAGCACATGGACTTCCCGGGGAACAACGGCCTTAGTGAGGAAGCGGTTAATAGTGACTGTCCTCCAGTTGTCCAGCACAGACATCTTCCTGGACACCCTTGGCTTTACCTCTGGCTCACCTGACACTTATGGCTTTCCAGAGATGCGTGATTCTTTACCTGTCCCCTCCTCTGCTCCCCCTTGGCTCAAGGACTCAACACCTCCACTGGGAGCGTTGTACACGGTTTTGGTCTCTTCCCTCTACGATGGGCCTCGTCTCACTGCCAAAATAACCTCCTTGAGACTCGAGTCTGTTGGAGTCTTCCACCTGCTGAAAACCCCTGCCTGGGGATCCATTCCTAGGCACAAGATCCTCACAGACAATTCCAAGCCCCTGCCACCATCTTCCTTTTCCTATCTTTTCTCCAGGTGAACGTCCCATCTTCTTCCCTACCCCCCACCTGCTTTGCACAGGCTGTTTCTTTCACTCAGAACATCTTCTACACCCCAACCCCCAAGTCCTACAGAGCTTTCCAGAACAAACTGGATGACCCTTCACCCTGTGAAGCTTCCCTCAACTCCCCAGTCAGAATTGGTGGTGTTCCCATCTGCCAGGTCTAGGGAGGCCTCTGGTATCGCACTTATAACGTTCAAGGGCTTAGGTTTGGTCCTTCCATACGTGTTTGCTGGTGCCCACTGAGGCTACTCTTGGTGCTACTCTTGGTGCAAATTAGGCCAGACAAGGGCTCAGCCCTCATGGCAGTGATATTCTATTCTAATATGTCTCCTCCACTGGGCTGGGCCCACATCTCCAGTGCATTTTGTAAGTAACACACAGTATCACTCGGGAGACCCCAAGGAGGGAGAGAATAAGACAGGCTCCTCGCTGCCTGGGTTCACCTGGGCCATGCATGGAGTCTTATCCATGGCAGGGAATAACTACTTTTTTTGATCAAATATTTTTGAATGCAGGATGTATGGAAATTGCTTTTATTCCCATATTGTGGAAAGGGGATGTAGAAACAGAAAAACTAATTTGATTAATTCACATCCTGTAAACAGTGAGCTTTGGACTGCCGGAATTCTAAACAAGTTCAATAGAACACACTATCTTTGTTCTGAGTCAGAGGAGGCTTTTTTTTAAAAAAAAAAAAACAAAAAAAACTCCATTTGTAACACTTCCTATTTGAATATCTAATAGAAAGCAGAGATGAAAGAATAATGCTAGAAAATTTTTTGTTAGGCCGTGGTGTCTCCACAGTTCAGCAGTGGACCATTACTGGTGGATTTATATGTTGTGTTCTCTGTGCTCCAGGTACCTAGAATAGTGCTTCGTACCTTACAAGAACTCATTAATATTTTAGTGAGTAAATGAAAGAACGCCTATCATCTCAGCAGCTAGGGAGGCTGAGGCAGGAGGACCACAAGTTCAAAGTCAGCCTCAGCAATAGCGAGGCACTAAGCAACTCAGTGAGACCCTGTCTCTAAGTAAAATACAAAATAGGGCTGGGGGGATGTATCTCAGTGGTTGAGTGTCTCTGAGTTCAATCACTGGTAACCCCCCCACACACACACAAAAAAAAGAGCAAACAGACCAGGGGATACGTGAGTGAAGAGCATATTTTGAGGAGAGGTGGGTAATTCCCTTTCGGTCCTCTTAATTCTTAGGTGTCCCTGGGGCCCTGAGATGAGCAAGGCCAATAGGAACAGAAATATCTGGAGGCATCCATGTGGTGCCTTTCAAGGGAACATTGAGTAATTCTTTGAGAGAGTCACTTTCTCAGAATAACATTAATGGACGTATGATGATCTATGATAAAATCTTGGTAGAATCAAGAAGAATAAAATCAGAAGAGACAGCTTTTTATACTGGAGGGGAGATTATGATTTGCATAGGGAAAAAAAGGAAAGTGAAAGAAAAACTAGCAAACAAAACAAAAGACCCAAGACAGCAAACACAGAAGCCGAACCCAGGAAAACCCGCTTCACTTGGCAAAGACTGAAACTGAGAGGATGAAGCCCAAAGGTGAGCTCTTTGGGAATCATTTTCAGACTATTGTATGGGGAATACCAAAAAATTATCTAGGATTCAGTAAGATGTTAGATGGATTTTTTCCATGTCCATAAACCCAAACACAGTCAGAAAAGGGGGATGTCACATGGCAGGATCTGTTCTGAGCCTCCAAGTGTTCATGCCCTTCACCCAGGAATCCCTCGCCTAGACTGTAACCTAACAAAATAATCCAACTATACAAAGCCCAGGAGGCATAAAAACATGAGAGAGAGTGGAACACTGGAAACAACCCCAACGTCCAACATTCAGTGAAGAATTAAATACATCAGGATGTAAACACGCCGTGGAAATATGACGGAACACCAAACATGCCCATCTGAAGATTCAGCAATAAAAAAAAAGAAAACTTATGAAATTAGGCTTAAGTAGAAGCAGCATATAAAATTATAGACACTCTAGCTTAATCTACATAAAAACACATTTTTGAGGAGAAAAAAAGATAAAAGGAAATACTCCAAAGTGGAATTCAGATAGCAGTTGGATTAGAAATTATTTTTCCTTTTTAGATTTATTCTAATAATAATAATAATAATAATAATAATAATAATAATAGTAATTGCTAACACTTATGTGGGGCTTTCAGTACTGAGTTCTTAACATGCTCATTTTATCCTCATAACGACCCTATGTGGCTTGTATTACTACTCCTATTTTATAGATAAGAAAACTAAAGTCTAAAAAGACATGGTGACTAGCCAAGAACACACAAAGATTAGGTGGTAAATTTGATGGTAGGCCTTTGTCTCACTTTTTTTTGATACCAGGGATTAATCTTGGGGCACTCGACCACTGAGCCACATCCCCAACCTTATTGTATGACATTTAGAGACAGGGTCTCACTGAATTGCTTAGTGCCTCACTAAGTTGCTGAGGCTGGCTGTGACTCGTGATCCTCCTGCCTCAGCCTCCTGAGCCACTGGGATGACAGGTGTGCACCACCGCACCTAGCAAAGTCCAGGATTTTAATCATTACATTATACTTCCATTTAGTTTTGGTTTTCAAATTAAAAGATGTGTGGTCTTAAAACATAAGACCACATTAAAGTCAAATGACATTTCCTTTATGATTAAAAAGTAGTGAGATCTTAGCTGGATTGGCTCCGACTCTCTGAGAAGTTGGTGTGGTGGAGGGTGGGAGAGAGAGGGAGGGCCAACATGGGAGGCCCCTGACATGGGACAGGCAGGGAGAAGGCGATCTGGAGAGCTTGTGGCACCCACCTCAACCAGTGACTTGCTTATGCAGCTCTTCTTGGCTGCCCCCTGCAGCTCCATGGCCTGCTGGATGTACATTTTTCCAGCCAGGATCTCATTCTCCAGCATTGACAGTTCTTTCAATGAAATGGGCCAATTCAACCGTTCCAATGCCTTGTTTAAAGCAGTCTTGTTTTCCAAGTATCGTATTGGTTTGTTTGCATCTAACCTAAAAGCCAAAAAAAGAAACAAAAGGAAAAGAAAATGACTATAATAGAGAAAAATAGGGTAAGATAGTTTCCTCAGTCAACTCTCAGACTTCAGATGACAGAGTCACAGCCGTGCTCTCCCGTCTGTTAGGACTTTGGTAGCTGGCATAGGTTAAAAACAACCACCTCTGTGAATCACTGGAGGTGCTTTTGCCCATCACCTCGTTTTAAAGAAGTTTGATAGACATGAATTTTTTTCAGTAAGATTGCCCAGCAGATTGGAGCCTATTCTGTTCTCCCTAGGCCTAACATTTGTTAGAACCAAATATGAGATTCAAGGAGATTTCACCCAACCAGGCATAGCAGTGACTCTGGAAAACAAAACAAGGCAAAGCCAAACAAAACCCAAATATTTGCTACAGGGCAGTAACTCTGCTAGCTCATTCTAGCTCTTTTAATCTTTGTTCTTCCATGTAAGCCTAAATATGCCTCAAATTTCTGGCTAGGTTGTTTGATAGACAAAGAACAAAAGACACACTTTTTGAGCTGTGGGTCTCCAGGTAAAGCTAACATGGAGTATGGCCTTGTTCCTGGTATCTATTTCTAGTCGCTGAAGCTTCTGAGTCAGATGCTTCTGACGGAGAGGGGTGGGGAGAAAGACATTTCATAATCCCCACTCTCTTACCTTATCCCTTTAGATGGCAGATGTTGGGGGACTGCAGTCTAAATTCAGCTACAGGACTCAAGTCTGCAAACTAAACTTCTCTCCAGCAGACAACACAAAATTCTTATTAAAACTCTAAATTAGAATGATATCAGTAAGATAGTCGAATAAGAAGCCTGGAGCCCTTATTTCCACACAGAGACACTGACTTAACAATGTACAGACCAAATTGGTTACAGCATCTCAAACAAGTACAAAGCCAAGAGGTGTCTTATCTAAGTGGGACAGAAAATTCATTGCATTCTCCACAAACAGTGCAGAACAACTGGAAGAAAACTCCCAAATTCTACCTTCTCCCTGGGAAGGGAGAGTGGAATGTGCATCCAAAGTTCTTGTCTTCTGGGGTGCTGTCTAGAGAACTAGTTTCTGTCCTGTTTAACTTGGAGGGCTGAAGGTAACGGTGGCATGTTTCAGATGCCAGGTTGGAATCTGCCACAGCATCAGAGACACAGCAGTACTTCTGACACGCATCATGGGGAGCAAGAGATCACAGATCACAAAATCCTGAGGAAGAAATAGGAGCAAACTTCTTTAACTGGGAAATTATACACACAAGACCAGAAAATATAAATCTCCAGAAAGGGTTTGGGAGACCCTCAGGATCTTCAGCTGGGATAGTTGGTAAAGACCTCCCCCTGTAAGAAGCCAGCCTATACAAACTGAGAGAGGTGTCTTTTAAATTTTTTTCCAAGTACTCTAATGTCAACTAAAGATCACAAGGCATACAAATATACAGGGAAACATGGTCCAATCAAAAGAATAAATAAATCTCCAGAAACTGTGCCTAAAGAAATGGAGATACTTGACAAAGAATTGTAAAAATATCCTACTGATGTTTCATGAGCTAACAGAGAAAGTAGACAAAGTAAATCAGAAAAGCGATATGTGAACAAAATGAGACTTTAAAAAAAGAACAAAATGAAAATTCTGAACTGAAGAATACAATGGAACTGAACATTTTACTGGAAGCGTTCCACAGAAAAGAGCATCAGTAAACTTTAATAAATTTTAAGTCATTAACAGCTGTGTATCAACAGAGTGAAACAACAACCTACAGAATGGGGTAAAATATATGTAAATCATATACCCAAGACTTGGGTAATATCCAGAGTATATAATGAACTATAACTCAACCCAATTTTAGAAGTGGGCAAAGGACTTGAATAGACATTTCTCCAAAGAAGATACACAAATGGCCAAAAGGCATATGAGAAGATATTCAACATGAAGAATCATTAGTGAAATAAAAGTCCAACCACAATGAGATGTCACCTCGCACCCACAAGGATGGTCACTATAAAAGTGAAACCAGACTGAAAATAACAAGAGCTGGCAAGGAGGTGGGGTAATGGAGACTCATGTACCGTTGATGGGAACATATCATGGTCCCATAAGATTACATCAGCTAGGGACATTCATCATCTTCATTTGTGTAAGCAGATGCTACAGTGTTTGATCAATGGTAAAACATCTACTTCTGCTTTTCTCAGAATACATCTCTGGTGTCAAGTGACACATTAATGTATCAGGTAGCTTTTAAAGGAGGAAAAAAATTATTTCCTAACTTTAGATAAAGGAATTTAACTGTCAAGACTTTTTAAAGGCATGAAAAAGTTATATAGAGTAATGGTAAAAATACTTAAAATTTCCATATCTGGTAAATATCGAGCACATAGACTTCATTCATTAATTTATTCAGTAAGTATTTACTGTACGCCTGTGCTGTGCCAGGCAGAGCGTGTTGATAGACATGAGGTATTTCTCTGATGAATAAATAGCTGAACCAAGCCCTACGACGTTCAGAGTCTGGAGAGGGAGGGGAGGTAATGCGAAATGAAATCAACCAAATGCTATGTGCATAATGAACCCCACTTTTATGTATAATTATAATGTAGCAATTATTTTTAAATAGAAGGGAGACCGGTATAGTAGAGGAAGGGGATCAGTGGGAAGGTGAAATGGAGGAGAAGGAGAAGTACTGAGGAATGAAGTGGAGAAATGAAATGGGGAAAAATATGATATGTGTACATATGAATATTCACAGTAAACCCTGATATTCTGCATAATTATAATGTACTAATAAAAAACATAAAATTTTAAAAAAACCTCAACAATTTACTGGTGGGAAGAGACTATAATAAGCAAGGAAATACAGAAGATATGTAATTATAGATTATGACAAATGGTAAGAAAGAAATAAAGAAATATTGAGAGGGGGAGAGAAAGAGTGCGTCAGGATGAGAGTGAGCTAGGGTGATCAGGAAGACTCTGATGAAGTGACAGTACAAAGAACCTGTCACCCAGACAGTGGGGGAGGGGACATTCTAGGCAGAGGGAATAGCGTGTGTGAAATGAAGAGAGATCAAACAAATCTGTCAGTTTTCACAAACCAAGATAGAGAACTTCAGCATATGTGAATACGTATATAAAAACCTGGGTTCTGAAACGGTGCTAGAAGAAGGGATTCTTTAATTAACTATTTAGAGCTGTAGGGCAAGGCAGGCCTGGGAGAGAATCCAGATACTGTTAGCTATCAGCCAGGTGGCTTTGGGAAAATGACTTAATTTTCCTACACCAGGGATTCTTAAGTTTTATCTCAATTAAGAATTGTCTGAAGGGTATTTTCCAACACAGATGGCTGCACCCCTCCCCTCTGCTATGTTGTCTTGAGAGAAACAATCTCATCTGTAAAGTTGGGGCTGATACCCCTCACATACAGGTGTCACAGGAGTGAAATGACACAATGGGAGTGAGGTGCTTCATGGAAGGCCTGACACACATCTGGTGCTCAGGGAGGTAGTGGTCGAATAGGGTCTACACATCTCTCCTAATTCCCTTTCTACAGTCCTGGGTCAGGCTGAAGGGATCTTTCTCCCTGACTTTTCATTCTATTCTTAACACCAATTTCCAGAACTCTGAGTATCTCTGTTTTCTTTGGTCTTGAATTGTCATTGTCTATATCCACACAGTGTGACTCTGACAAGGCGGGAAACTCCTCAGGACAGACCCTCACCTGATCCTGCTTTCACTCTCCAGGCTCACAGGCAGCCTTCAGGGAAGGTAAAACCAGATAATCTATGAATTATGAAGGTTAAATAAGGAAATGACAAGTATCAGGTGACAGCAAGCACAGAACTCACTTAACGCCTTGCTTTAGAAAGTGAGAAGTGAAGTGAGGTTGTGAAGGACAGCAGAATAAGAAAAATCAAGATCTAGGCTCTCTACCAAAACTAGTAAACCAGCTGTAACTCAGAATCAACCATTTTGAAACTCGCGAATCTAGTTGAATACCTGTAGCATCCAGGGGAGTGAATGCTTGATGAAGAAAGAGGCTGGTGTTTCAGGAAATCTCTGCCCAGTCACTGGCTGAACACAGAGAAAATGGAACAGAGACTTCTCTGGAAACACACATGACAAGGAATGTAATTTTTGTAAAACTTGTTTGGAAAAACACTAACTAGACAACCAAATCATTTCATTAAGCAATGAGGCAGATTCTGAATTCCAGAGGTATCACATTATAATATCCAAAATGTTCAATTGTTAACTAAAAATTTTATCAAGAAACAAGAATTCTTATGTCCTATTCATAATAAAACAAAAACCTGATAAAAGAAGGTTGATGTTTGGTTTACTTAACAAAGATTTTAACTTAATGGTCTTAAATGTGCTAAAAGAGATAAAAGAAACCGTGAGAAGAGAACTCAAAGAAATCAAGAGAATGGTGTCTGAACAACAAGAGAACAAAAAATATAAGAGGAGGTAAATAGAAATACTGAAGCTGAAAAGTGTAATAGCTGAAATAAAAAATCCATTCGATAGCAGATTTAAGTAGGCAAAAGGATCAGTGAACTTACCGGTAGATTAATTATGATAACCAAGCTTGAGAAGCAGCGAGAATAAATAAATGAAGAAATACGAACAGAGTCCAAGGAACCTTGTTCCAAAAAGTGACAAGAGGGGAAGGAATAAGACACTTGAATAAATATTGGTTGATAACTTCCCAAATTGGATGAAAGATATAAATTTACACAACCTAAAAAGTTCAGCAAATTTTAAGGGAGTATAATACAGAGAGACAAAGACAAAGAAATTTTGTGTTTTTTTTTTTGGTGCTGGGGACCAAATCCAGGGCCAAGCTCTGTACCACTGAGCTATACCTCTAATTCCCAAAAAGAGAATCCTTAAAGAAACAAGAAAAAAGTGACTTGTCATAAATAAAGAATCCTCAAGAATATTAACATTTTATTTCTCATCATCAACTGTAATAGCCAGAAGGTAACAGGATGATCTATT